CACAATCCTTGTTCAAGCTCTTGTTCTGTCCAGGCTAGACTATTGCAATGCTCTCTTGGCAGGTCTTCCAGCCAGTTCTATCAAACCTTTACAATTAATCCAGAACCAATGAGCCAAAAAGAATGAACGTCACACCTCTGTTTATCAATTTGCACAGGCTACCAATAGCTGCTTGCATAAAATTCAAGGCATTAATGTTTGCCTACAAAACCACCACTGGCTCTGCACCCCTTTACCTAAATTCATTACTTCAGACTTATGTGCCCTCTAGAAGCTTGCGTTCTGCAAGTGAACGTCGCTTTATTGTGTCATCCCAAAGAGGCACAAAATCACTTTTAGACTCTTAAATTAAATGTTCCCTCCTGGTGGAATAATCTGCCCAACTCAGTCCGAGCAGCTGAGTCCTTAGCCATCTTCAAGGATTGGCTAAAAACACATCTTTTCCATCTTTATTTGACCCTCTAACTCTAGCACTCTCTATTATAATTCTATTCTTTATAGAAAAAAACTTGCCCCTTTTAGAATTGCACTCTATTTACTAACTGCTTGTTTTCTTAAAGGGGTCATATGATGCTTTTTTAAAGATCATTATTTGGTGTATTTGGTGTAACAGAATATGTTGAGTAGCCTATAGGATGTATTTTGAATGTCTGCTAGTCCTCAAATAACATTATAGTCCCGTCTCATCTTAGTCACAGAAAAAATGTTCGTTAACAAATATTTTTCGTCTTCGTTGACGAAATTAACACTGATGCTAGTGCTACTGATACTTTCTGCTCCACTCTTACATCTTGTTTAGACACTGTCTGCCCCTTGTCTGCCAAGCCAGGCCATACCACCCCTTCTGCCCCTTGGCTGTCTGATGTTCTCCGTGAGCATCGTGCTAAGCTCAGGGCTGCTGAAAGGTTGTGGCGCAAATAAAAAAATACTACTGACCTTAATGTGTATCAGTCACTCCTCTCTTCCTTCTGTAAGTCGCTTTGGATAAAAGTGTCTGCTAAATGTCTAAATGTAAATGTACATATTAAATCCATATTTTGAGAAAATGAAAGCAGTTTTTGACCTTGCATGCATGTAAACCTATTGTAGGAGACTCCCAAAACAATATTAGTAACCCTAAAAATGGCATAATAGGGGCACTTTAAAATAACTGTTTTCAGTTTTAATATATTCTAAAATTCTATTTATTCCTGTGATTCTAATATGCAGATTTGGTGGTCAAGAAAATTTTTTCTTATTGTCAATGTTGAAAACATTTTTTTTTGATGAACAAAGTTCAAAAGAATAGCATTTATTTGAAATAGAAATCCCTGTAACAATAAAAATAATGAAAGCAGTTTTTGACCTTGCATGCATGTAAACCTATTGTAGGAGACTCCCAAAACAATATTAGTAACCCTAAAAATGGCATAATAGGGGCACTTTAATTAATCAGCATTAATTAATAATGATTACCAAGGCTTCTCAACTCTGGCCCTCGAGGTCCACTTTCCTGCAGAGTTTAGCTCTAACCTTGATCAAACTCACTGCCTGTAACTCTCTAGTAATCCTGAAGACCTTGATTGGCTTGTTCAGGTGTGTTTGATTAGGGTTGGAGCTAAACTCTGCTGGAAAGTGGACCTCGAGGGCCAGAGTTGAGAATCTCTGATGTATACCATAGTTAATAGGCAGTCGATGCAGAGTTGACAGAACCGAGCTAATATGGTCTTACCTCTTGGTTCTAGTAAATACTCTAGGTGCTGCATTTTGGACCAATTGAAGATTGTTTAATTAGGGTGGCCATATGTGCCGTTCATACAGGACACATCCTGACCAGGATTGTTATATTGCCTAAAACATCCAAAGTAGTTTGACCAATAACATGCAGGTATTGTATATAATCGACCAATCGTGGGTGAGATCTACAGAGAATGATCAAAGCGATGCAAATACACACACGTGTTTGTTCGTTCGTTCGACTTGAAGCGTTGCTGCGCACCGATCATTGAATGACACCAAAGTACCACGAGAGTGATTGAAAAGCATAAGGAGCCGGCATAAGGAGCCGTCTCCTCTGCTCTCTATAGCTCTCGTGAATGTCATACAACGATCGATCTGCACAGCCAAAACCTGGATATTTTAGGCAATATAGAAATCCTGGCAAGGACGCATCCCATAAAAATGGCCCGTATGGTCACCCTAGTTCAATAAGCCTGCAGGGCAAGTACCAAGTAATTGGTGGCTTTCAGTGTGCTTTCAAATGACAGATTGCTGTCAGTTAGCACTCCCAGGTTCCTAACTGATGACTAAGACTTGATAGAGCATCCATCAAGAGTCAAACAGTAAGTTATTATATGTGGAGATGATTGGTTCAATAGTTAAAACCTCTATTTTTTTTTCCTAAATTCAGTAGGATCTTATAGTCTACTCCATGTTTCTTAGTGATACCTCCAAACGGTAGCATGTGCAGGGTGAAAAGCAAAGGTCCTAGTACTGAGACTTGGGGTACTCCTTCCCGAACTTGTGATCTATATATCATCTCGTCATTTGCTGCTACAAAGTGATAACGGTCAAATAAATATGATTTAAACCATGCCAATGCCATTCCCCTATTGCCAGCATAATATTTGGGCCTTTCCAAAAAAACTTTGTGGTCAGTATAATCAAGTAAAAAGCAGTCTATGGGCAAGCCAATAAAATTTAAGGGAAGACACACATCAACTGAAATGAGGTACAACATTTATGTCTAGATAGATAGATAGATAGATAGATTTCCTGTGTGAAAGTAACCTTTAGTAAAATCAATCTGAATTCCTGTATCTATTACTAATGTTTCTATTCTATTGTACTCTGTTTTAAGTCTGTTGCACAGAGACAGATCAAACCCATCAGAGGCAAGCTGTGTGTCCATGAAGAGCGACCAGTCCAGGGGTGTCCAAACTCGGTCCTGGAGGGCCGGTGTCCTGAAGAGTTTAGCTCCAACCCCAATTAAACACACCTGAACCAGCTAATCAAGCTCTTACTAGGCATACTAGAAACTTAAAGGCAGGTGTGTTGAGGCAAGTTGGAGCTAAACTCTGCAGGACACTGGCACTCCAGGACCAAGTTTGGGCAGCCCTGGACCAGTCTACGGGCAAACCAATAAAATTTAAGGGAAGACGAGCATCAACTGGTCTGAGGTGCAACATTTCTGTCTAAAAAGATAGATAGATAGATACTTTGATGCTTAGATTTTTGTATCTATTACTAATATCTCTACTCTATACAACATTTTTGTCTAAATCTGCAGATAGATAAATAGATAGATAGATAGATAGATAGATAGATAGATAGATAGATAGATTTCCTATGTAGTGTCTGGACCAATCAAACACACCATTTTTCATTTGATTTAACAAATCAATTATTCATTAGATTAACAAATCGTCACAGTCCCCTCACCCAATAAACTGGATGCCAGGATGTCTGCCACCAGGCCCCCCTGGTTACCATGGCAACCCTGACACCAGATACGTTTACGACCTCATGGAATGTAAGCTGAGAGACTCTCACTGCATTTTCCAGAGCAAGAGGCAAAATGCACAGTAGAAATGGACTTTTCTACTAATTAATTCATAGGTGACCTTAAAGGCCCACACCAGGGACCCTCCCTCAGTCGGTGGTTCTGTTAGGTTTCGATAAGATGTGAGTTCCAACGAGAACATCCTAAGTTACGTGCCAGGCTTCGGCCTCGACCTTGTATGTGAAAGTAACCTTTAGTAAAATCAATCTGAATTATTGTATCTATTATTAATGTCTCTATTCTATTGTACTCTGTTTTAAGTCTGTTGCACAGAGACAGATCAAACCCATCAGAGGCAAGCTGTGTGTCCATGAAGAGCGACCAGTCTATGGACGAGTCGATAAAATGTAAGGGAAGACATACATCAACTGATCTGAGGTACATTTATGTTTAAATAGACAGACAGATAGATAGATCTTTAATTAAATGTTGTAATCTGTTATGTGAATCTTTATTTATTTATTTAATTTTATTTATTTAATGGCTCTCTACTGGTACAAAGCACATTCAAATCAAATCTGATGAAGAAGTTTCAGTGTCTGCATGAAGGAACAGCAAAACAGGGAAACCCAACATTCCTGAATGAGATCTACACAGAGCTCTACATCACAGAGAGTAAAAGTGGAGAGATCAATAAACAACATGAGGTGAGACAGATTGAGACACAATCCAGGAGAGCAGCAACAGAGGACACACCAATCAAATGCAATGACATCTTTAGACCTTTACCTGGACAAGACAAACCCATCAGAACTGTGCTGACAAAGGGAGTCGCTGGCATTGGAAAATCAGTCTCTGTGCAGAAGTTTATTGTGGACTGGAGTGAAGGGAAAGCAAATCAGGACATCCAGCTCATATTTCCACTTCCTTTCAGAGAGCTCAACTTGATGAAGGACAAAAAACTCAGTCTTTCAGATCTACTTCAGGTTTTGTTTCCTGAAACAAGAGAAATATCCAGTGATGCATATAAAGTTTTCTTCATCTTTGATGGTCTGGATGAGTGTCGTCTGTCTCTGGATTTTCAGAGCAATGTGAGGTTGTGTGATTTAAGTAAATCTGCCACAGTGGATGTGCTACTGACGAACCTCATTGCAGGAAATCTGCTGCCCTCTGCTCTCATCTGGATCACCTCCAGACCAGCAGCAGCTGATCTCATCCCCTCTGAATGTGTCCATCGAGTGACAGAGGTACGAGGCTTTAATGACCCAAAGAAGGAGGAATACTTCAGAAAGAGAATAAGTGATCAGAGTCTGGCCAACAGAATCATCTCACACCTGAAGTCATCAAGGAGCCTCCACATCATGTGCCACATCCCAGTGTTCTGCTGGATTTCAGCCACTGTTCTAGAGAGAATGTTGGTGAAATCATGGAAAGGAGAGATCCCTAAGACTGTTACTCAAATGTACACATACTTCCTGATTCTTCAGACAAACATTAAACATGAGAAGGACTATGAGAAGAAAGTGAAAGATGAAGACATGATCCTCAAACTGGGGAAACTGGCTTTTCAGCAGCTCGTGAAAGGCAACCTGATCTTCTATGACGAAGACCTGAGCGAGTGTGGCATTGATGTGACAGAAGCATCTGTATACTCAGGATTGTGCACACAGATCTTCAGAGAGGAATTTGGCTTGTATCAGGGGAAGGTCTTCTGCTTCGTTCATCTGAGCATTCAGGAACATCTAGCAGCACTATATGCGCACCTCTCCTTTACAGAATACATAAATGTGTTCGACCAAGCCACCGAACAAAATACCTTCTCTAAGGTCATAAACTGGATGAAAAATAATTCATTATCTGGCCTACATCAGACAGCTGTGGATGAAGCTTTACAGAGTAAGAATGGACATCTTGACCTTTTCCTGCGTTTTCTTCTGGGTCTCTCAGTGGAGTCTAATCAGACTCTCTTACAAGAACTAATAACACGGACAGGAAGCTGCTCCAACAATAAAAAGGAAACAGCTGAATACATCAAACAGAAGATCAGGGAGAATCCCTCTCCAGAGAGATGTATCAATCTGTTCCACTGTCTGAATGAACTGGGCGATGATTCACTAATGCAGGAGATCCAGGATTATCTGAGATCTGGAAAAATAAATCAAATCAAACTCTCTTCTTCACAGTGGTCAGCTCTGGTTTTTGTTTTGCTGACATCAGAGCAGAAGATGGAAAAGTTTGATCTAAAAAATTTTATGGGAGCACAAAATACAGCAGATGAAGTTCTTCAGAAACTGCTGCCTGTGATTAAAGAATCCAGATCAGCTCAGTAAGTAAAACTGTCATCAATCACTACAATATTAAAACATTACCTATATCAGACAATCACAAGTCTGCGTTAAATACAGGTGTAAGCAGGGTCTAAAACATTTTGTGATCGGCTTACTGAAACCACATATGGAGGTAGTCAGAAAAACATTACTATTGAAATTGCAACAGCCCTCGTCATCCTTTTCATTAGTTTCCTTTTCCGTTCGCTCATAAACCATGTAACATGGGCTGCATCTAAAAAATTAAAATTTTAGAAAACACTTTTTATACAAGCAAATGCATTTAAAATCCAGTGTGCCATCTGATGTAAAGAAATTAAGAAAATTGTATGTGTATCCACTACCCAACCAGGAACATTTTCTATACAGAAATATATACTGCAAGCATAGGGACACTTGACTCTAGAAAAGTGGATTCAAACAGTATTCGTTACGTGCTTTACTGTCTATTTGAATTATTTGTATTTTGCAAAGTTTTCCCATTGTTTTCTTTAACTGCACCTGGTATCAGTTCATCATTCACATTCATTCATCTCTACAGATTGTGTAGGTGTGGTGTCACAGATAAAGGTTGCGCTGTACTGGCTACAGCTCTAAGCTCAAACCCCTCACACCTGAGAGATCTGAATCTGTCTGGAAATAAACTACAAGATGCAGGAGTGAAGCTGATCTCAGATGGACTGATGGATCCTCACTGTAACCTGGAAACACTGCAGTAAGTTTGTATAAAAGTATCATCCTTATTGCCCACCTACTGGGATTAATGAATAATAAAATAAATTTAAAGGGGTCATATGATGCGATTTCAAGTTTTCCTTTCTCTTTGGAGTGTTACAAGCTGATTGTGCATAGATAAGATCCCTGAAGTTGCAAAGACTAAAGTCTCAAAACCAAAGAGATATTCTTTATCAAAGTTAAGACTCTGCCACGCCCCCCTAAAACGGCTCGTTCTAACACGCCCCCACATATCTACCTCACTATGTGGAAATATTAGCATAATGCCGCCCAAATGTGCACGCAAAGAAAGAAGGCGTGGTTTCAGTAACCGCAGTTAGTGTTGAAGCAGCATGTCAGGGAGACGCTGTGTGTTTCAGTGCGAAAGCAAAAGCACTTTATTTGGCCTTCCGAAAGTAGATGCATTTAGGAATCTTCAAGATTACTTACAACAGAATAGACTGTTCAAATGCGGAGTTTTGCCCACCGTGTGTGTGTGAGAGAGAGAGAGAGAGAGAGAGAGAGAGAGAGTGAGTGAGTGAGTGAGTCCAAAAACCTCTTTATTGCTTTTCAGACAAAATCACACTCAAGCCAAAAAGAACAAACCACTATAAATTAACTAAACTAAAACAGCACATTTTCTTCAACAAAACATAGCACATTTTTAAGACACCACATATTTCTGAGAGAGATCACAGTGGACTCAGCTGTCTTAACCGTGGCTTGTGTACTGCACACATACCAGCTTCATCACTGTGTCTGTCACGCGACTCTGTTCCCCTTTCGGGCTCTGTTTTTACATTTATTTTGAAAGATGAAGCTCACGATTATGGTAAGGGGCGTTACATTTCTGATGAGTGCTTGCGGTGTTCGGCCAATCACAATGCACTGGGTCATCTGGCCAATCAGAGCAGACTGCGCTTTTCGGAAGGAGGGACTTTGTAGAAAACGAAGCGTTTGAACATGTACAGTACAGTATTTGAAAAAGAATGTGTTTTTTGAACATTAAAGCATGTCAACATATTCTGTTACACCAAATACACAAAATAATGATCTTTAAAAATGCATCATATGACCCTTTAAAAGAAAAAAATTGAAAAGTCTAAAAAGTGTCCTGTCAGATAACTAAAGATGATGCTGTTTTGATCTTAATTAGGTGCTTTACAAGGTGTCTGACACAATTTACGTACAATCTTTGATGATAATATAAACATAATTGGATAATGCATGAAAATTATATTTATTATGCTCATATTGAAATGAACACTATCAAGCACCCATTTAGAAAAAAAGAGACTACTTAATGAAATTAGGTCCAGTCTAAAGTGCAAGTCTCTCTTTTTGATTGTGAAATTCCTGCTGATCTGAGTTGTATATCCTGAAATAAGAGACTGACAAGTGTCAACTGTTCTCTAAAGGTTGAGTGATTGTGGTGTCACAGATGAAGGTTGTGCTGCTCTGGCTTCAGCTCTAAGATCAAACCCCTCACACCTGAGCTATTTGGACCTAACTGGAAATAAACTAAAAGATCTAGGAATTAATCTGATCTCTTCTATACTGGATGATCCTCACTGTAAAATGAAAACACTGCGGTAAGATATATATATATATATATATATATATATATATAAATTTGTCAGCAACCTCCTCCATTTTTCTCCTATTGTGAATGATGAAATTATCACAATTAAAACAAAAACTGAAAGTGAAGAATGTCATTGTTCTTTACAGGTTGATTGATTGTGGTGCCACAGATAAAGGCTGTGCTGTTCTGGCTTCAGCTCTGAGATCAAACCCCTCACACCTGAGAGAACTGAATATGTCTGGAAATAAACTAGGACCATCAGGAGTGAAATTGCTCTCTAATGGACTGGAGGACCCTCACTGTAATCTGGAGATACTGTGGTAAATCATCTCTCTAAGAGTCATACACATTGTTACTTAGTAAGAAATATTCTCTAAGAGATTATAGCTCTGACAAGGATGTAGGAGGCAATCTGTAGTACAAAATATGCGCCACACACAGTCAAGAGAGAGAGTCTTGTTTTTTCTTAGAGATGTTGTTAAGGTGATAATATAATGTTCCACAAACGTGTTGTTCGGGAGTTTGCAGTCAAGTGTGGTTCCAGACATGATTATTGGCTTTCAAAGACAAGGAGTCTATAGCTGAATAGCATTTCTGTCTGTAAAAGCATACTTTACATATGAGTAACATATCTCTGTGTTATAGCATATCTCTGTTTTATTTGAAAAACAGAGTTGAAAATAGACATGTGTATATATATATATAAAGAGAGAGAGAGAGAGAGATCCTATAAATACGACAGATCGTG